GAAAAGAAAGCAAACCTCGAGATGTTTTTACGGCCGGCGAGACCCCAATAACAGGCAACAAATCACGGTTCAGCTCTAGCGAATCCTCCCAACCGTCAGGAACGACCACTTCCGAACGCCGCCCATCTTCAGAGCCGGAGTTTTGTTGGAGATGAACGAAGAAAATGGAGCTCGGCAATGGCGAAACAGTGAGAGGAGGAAGGAGAGCAGTCAAAGGCGGTGAGGGTAACGAAGAGAGAAGGAAAAGTGGAAATCCTATTTTACTCCGCCGCTTCGTTCTGCGTGCGGAATGCTTTTTTTAATCACGGATGGGACATTTCCACCCGTTTTCAGCCCAAATTGGGCTGAAAACACATTTCCGATTTTTCTGACGTGGACCCCCATTTTACCATCTCTTTTCTCAAAAACCAAAGGCGAACCAAACAGATGAAATGGAAAGCTTTTGAAATCAAAATCTAATGTGGCACCCGTGTCAGATTTCATTTCCCAGTTTTTAGCGTTTTTTGGGCCAAACAAACAGCCCCTAAAGAGAAAAATCCTTACATGCCCATGAAATCAAATGTAAAAGGTACATACACTATTGAAATTTGCGAGCTCGTTGTCATATCTGAAAGCTTGAGGACATTGAAATAAATTAGTTGATGTTAGAGTGCTTAAACTATGTAATATTGAGAAAGCAGTTTATGAGATTATATGCCTTGTTGGGGTTTTTTGTTCTTAATTATTATGATGCACTTTTCAAAGTGCATTGTGTAATTTGATGATGAATATTAATGATAAGTTGTGCTGGGTTTATGTAGCAACTATTGCTTGATTGCTGGTTATGACTAGATAATGTTGCTAGAATTACGTCTGATCATTTGTAAAGTTTGAAATGGTGATGCATAGATATGTTTGTCAATTTATCTCAATGAAGTAGTGATCAAAAAGTGATGCTCACCATCATCTTATCATGTTGCACACAATGTGTTTGACGATATTCTCAAGGAAATAAAGGCTCAATTTGATATATACTAATCTAATGTAGAGCGAACCAAACTATAACACACAATATGTTTGATAATTTGCCTTAATGAAAAGAGATTTAACAATGCAACAAAGAATCAAAATTGAAAACAATATTGTATATGCGGGAATTTAAACAGGTTTCTATTTCTTGAATTATTTTTAGGCTCGTCTTTTGCTTCGTTTTGCTCTCCATGTACCTCACATTTTGTTCCATTCTTTTCCTTTTTTTTAGTTAACATAAGTTGTTAGGAGTCGTTAATGATAAATCATTTTATTTAGGTTAGCATGGCCCGTAACTACATCAAAGGTTGCTGGAGAGTTGCATAACCCGAACGGCATCACCAACCAATCAAACAGGCCATGCTTGGTCTTAAACGTAGTCTTCCAAATGTCATCCTCCTGAATCCTCACATGATGGTAAACAGACGTCAGATCTAACTTCGTGAAAAACTTCGCCCCCTCCAACTGGTCCATAAGATCATCGATCCATGGTAGTGGGTAACAATTCTTGATCGTTATCTTGTCGAGCACCCAGTAATCCACACACATGCACCAGCCTTCATCCTTCTTAGCCACCAACAACACTGGTGGCCCACAAGACGAACAACTAAACACTATCACTCATGTCTCCAGAAGCTCCTGAACTTGCTTCTTGATCTCCTCGGACTCCTGTACGGATGTGCGGTAGATGCCTATATTCGGCAAAGAACTCTCTCCCGTCAACATAATCTCGTGCTCCACACTCTTGCTCGGCGGTAGCCCAGTGATCTCCGAAAACAAATATGCATACTTGGCCTTCAAACCTATTAAGATCTCCCTTCTGAAGCTTGCTCAAGGTAGTCAAGCATACTCTACTCAGCTGCTCCTCATAAGGCCTAATGAACAATAAACCAAACTTTTTGCTTCCATTCACTAGCCTTTTTGTCTGAGTCACCGTCACCAAACTCATCTCCTACGGAAGAGATGTCAAACGAAATATGAACTGCTCGCCATCCTTGGTGAACGTATACTTCTGGACCCGCTTGTCGTAGACCACGTACCTATCCCATAAATAAAGATTGCCCAGTATAACATGGCAAACATCCAATGGAACGACGTCACATGTGATCTCATCAATATACCACTCGTGAAGTGAAAATCTGAAAGTACATTGATTGGTCACACTCAGCCCCGACTCCTTCTGAATCCACCCTAAAGGATAGGGCTTCGGATGCTTGACCGTCTTCAGACCCAACTTCTGAACCAAGGTCTCGAATATCAAATTCTTCTGGCTCCCTGGATCAACGATGGCATCAACCAAGCTAGTCTTCACCTGCAACTTAAGAATAAAGAGCTGCTCCCTGGGGTCTTTATCTTCCTTCGTGGCCTGCTTTCCTGCCATAAGGTTGAGACTACTGTTGGGCTCTGTCATCCCGGGGACTTCCTTCAGACATTGTGTCACCATGTATGCCTTTTTCTCCTCCTTCTTCTTCAACTCTTTCGGCTTCAGATGAGGATACTTCTCCCAGTATCTGATCATCTACATGCCATGTCTGCTTGTAGTGATTACAAATCAATCATGCCTTCCTTGGGTCGCCTTTCTTCTTCTCCTCCTTAGGTTGGGAGCCACTAGACTTTCCCCCGCTTGTTTGACATCCCCCTTTGTCTCGTTGTCTTTCTTCTGCTTGCCCTCAATGGCATTAGCCTTCACGCTCGCCTCTACAATCAACTCAACCATGAATAGCTTCATCTTCTTCCGGATGTATTCATTCAAACCCGCCATATACTTCATAAAAATCGAGTACTCCTTCGTCGCAATGTTGAGAACCATCACTTGTTGTTGAAACTCAGTCGTGTGTTCTTGAACGGTTTGATTGAATATTTGGCGCATGTCATACCACTTGTACCAATGCTTTTTAAGGAACCCCACCGAGTAGAACTGCTTCCTCAGTAGCTCTTTGAACCTGTTCCACGACACCGCTTTCTTCTCCTGTTTGCAATAGGATTTCCACCACGTCAACGCGTGTCCTGAAAGCTTCAAGTCATAAAAATGATCTTCTCTTTTGACGAATAGTCATAAAGAGTAAAGTAAGTCTTCATACGCTCGATCCAATCATCAAACCTTTCAACGTTAACACTCCCATCATAAACATGAATCTCAACTCTGAAATCAATCTTTAGATTCTGGTAAGAACCCTTACCCATTGATGTGGAACAACCCTAACGGCCTCGACCTCCTCATCAAATCTAATTTTTCACTCTCTCTACCGGACTCTGCAGGTTTCTTCTTAGACTTCGAAGAAGATTCCCCATGTTTATTTCCTCCATGGATGAGATAGACGAGTTGTGTGAGAGTCGATCCGATTGTTTCGATCTGTTTCTCTAATGCATCCAGCCTCGCTGAGTTGTCGTTATCCGCTATCCTCTTCTTCCTTGATTTCTAGACTGCTTCCAAAGAGTCAAGGATCTCGCCTAGCTTCTTGTACTGCGATCAAGTAAGGACTATACATAGGATACCCCTTCACAGGATCTGTTTGTTCTGATACCAACTTGATACGAGTCGCCGTGCAAGCACCTTTAATCACGGAATTATCAAAGGTGGAGTTGAGAAGAAAACAGCAAGAACACACAAGACAATTCAATTGGCGAAGGAAAATACCTTCTCTAGATTATGAAGAATAAAATATTACGAAATCTCTCCTCACAATCTCTCTAGAATAAGGAACAATCTCCTTATTATCTTTAAAAACCTAATCTGATGTTTAGAAACCCTAAACAATCCCTATTTATATGTCTAACAACGTGGATGGCAATCTCAAAAATAACTAAGCCCAATCTAACTTGGAATACGTATCAATCAGGAATCCCAAATCACCCAAGAACCTAATCCGGTCAACCGATATGTGTGGCGCGGTCGACTGGCCAGAGAACTCATTTTAAACCCTGCAGTGTGCACGTTTTCGATCGATCGACATTGGTCGGTCGTTCTACCGATATGGCATTGTCGGTCGATCGGTGTCAATCATTCGGTCGACCGGCCGAGCATATTCTTCCATTTCCTGATTTCTTCTGTTTTTCCTGCTTTTGACCTCTTTTGTCGTCACCAACGGCTCCACCCACGCCTCTATTCTCAAGCTACCATGAGAAGCATCTATCATCAAGCTCTCATGAGAATCACTAAGCTCCCGAAGTAAGGAAGAAGATACACATGTATCAATTGGTGCTATGAAGATTGATGATAATTATTAGTTTGAAAGACTGTTTTTATATAGCCTTGAAGATCCCAACTCCTTGTTGTGTAAGGAATAAGAGTTCTAATAGGAATAGAAATCCACATGTCCTATAATCCAACAAGAGTTCAAGTAGAAATAAACCTCTAATATGATTGGTTGTGCAAAATCTAATGTAAGTAGGACTCTTGATCAAAACAAACCAAGTCATAAAAAGGAACTCTCAAAGCAATATGGATTTGAATATTTGAGACAACCTATAACAAAGTCCTTGTTTTTAACAAACAAAGCATCATTATGAGGATCTTGCTGAAGTTGATGTTGAATCCCTTCAAAGCTCACTTTGACAAGTACAAACTTTGTTAGATATATCTGCAAAATATATTATGTTAAGACCCTTCAATTTCTTCTTTTTTCGGATTTCAATTTCTTCTTTAAGTTCTTTAATTTTGAGGTGAAAACAAACATCTTGCAACCATCCAATCTCCTGCTCTATATAATGCTACAAAGAGGGAGAATATTCTTATGATTACTCCACATCTTAAAATATCTAAAAGGTTTCTTTCCATATCCCTTAATCTTATCTTGAATGGTATTGACACCAGGGGAGTGATAAGATGCACTTGAAGCCAAGAAATCCACGTAACCATATAATTATTGTAATAAAAAAATTTCATATAGAGTTCTTTTGTTTTTAATTTATTTCGGAATTCACGGATTATCAAGTTACATTTCTGTATAAATTAAGAATTTGTAACCTCCTATATACTAAATGTATCATGATGAACCTTTTATACCATAAGAGAGTCTGGTGATAAATGATTCAGCATTCTTGTAAAATCATCTTGCTCGATCAGGATGATGATTGTCATTGCCGGATGATTCCTCAGAAGTACATTGTGAATAGATAATCTAATAAATAAAGAGAAGAATAATGATAATTTGTTGAAATTAAATTATCTATATTTGATAGTCAGAAGTTAAATAGCTCTCATATTGAGTTCCTCTAAGAGCATTCTGAACTTCGTCCCAATTCTCAACCAGATGAGACAATGCCCTTGTATGTATCTTCACATGATGACTGATCAGCCTTTGACAAGGCACTCTAAGAAACTCCATAACATCTATCAGCCTCTGCACAAATATAATGTAATTAAGCTATATATCAGAACATTTTTAACATTGGTTTATTTGAACTTCTTAAATTTTTACTTAATGTACATTGTGTTCATGTTTTGACATATGCATGCACAAATGTTTTAATTTCTTTTGTCAAAGTTAACGTGGAATCCTAAGAAACCTTTCCTACTAAAAAGTATATGTAAGTTATTTATCCAAAAATATTTATTGTGTACACTAAAAGGATAGTATACCAGATATATGAAAAAAAAAAGTGAAGGTGAAGCCATTTGTTTGGATACCGCATTCATCTTCTTCCCATAAAGCTAAAGTCATATTTGGTTCTCAGTTATAGTTCCCTGGTTAGAAAATACATGCATTACACGTCTTTAACATACAAATTTAGGGAACAACTATATTTCTATGATTAAATAAGTGTTATGGTCGGGGTACACTTTGAATTTGCTCTAACAATGCTTGCAACTAATTTACAATACGTGAACAGCTTAATGTGGAAAATTGGTAAAATGGTCATATTTACTGAATCAAATCTTACAAACTAGTTGAACTATCCATATTACATACTATACACATGACTAGGTATAGACAGAGATACCTTTAGGGTAATTCCCATGAATCTCATAGAATTCCCATTGTTGCTTGGAGTACTCTTGGTCAGAATCAAAAAGACGGTGGATTCGAAATTTTCTCTGCTCTAACTATGCATCAGCTATGAAAATTATGTGGTTCATTCATAATAAAAAGGACATGATATGGATAAAGTGGATACATGAATGTTATTTAAAAAGAAGTACTATTTAGGGGGTTCAACCAAAAAGGACTCATGGTTCTGGAAGCAGTTGATTAATTATGAATACTGCTCTTCATATGTGGGGAGATGCTATCTATGGGTGTTATCAGAATGATGAAGAGTCAGTGTAAACATGGCAAACTTAAAGTTGATCTTGCATATCATGATCTCATGCCTAATCTTCAAACGGTAGTGGTAAGTTGCATATATGCCCAAACATGCACATATACTGTGGTTAGTGTTTCATCACAGATTACTCACATTTGATAGATTATGTGCTACGAGACACTGCCATTATCAATTTGTGTATTCTTTTATGGTATCTCCACTGAAAGCCACAACCACTTATTTTTTGGCTGTCAGTTATCTACGGCTGTGTGGAGGTTATGTTATGGATTGAATTTTAGGAGGAGCTACTCATGAGACCAGTTGGTTAACTGGTATATGCATAACTGGAAGAAGAACATTTTTCCTCATGGAGTGAAGATGTTTGCTCTTCAGTTAGAGTATACTGCATATGGCTGGAAAGGAACAGCAGGGTATGTTCAACCGTGAAGAAGAGCATTGTTCAGGTTGTTAAACAAATCAAACTGTTCGTTCCCATATCCTTATACTATTGCGAATTGCCATTTTAGTTTAAGTTTTGGTTTGGGAGTCTGTAAATTTTTGTGTCTTTTGATTAGGGAAATTATGCCCAGTTTTGTATGTTCCGTGTTCTGTCTGTTGTCTTAGAGTTTTCGAGATGTAAAGAAGTCGGGTATGCCTGACTATGCTCTGTAATATGCTCATTGGTTTAATGATAAGCATTAATTAATTAACCCAAAAAAGGTATGGACAGAGCTCATTGACATTTTATACCGGGATTAGTAAATTGGGGTTAAATATGGAAATTTTAGATAAGAGAAATCATATTAACCCTACATTATAGAAAAGATACCTACAACATCTTCAATCGTATTATTATTATTTATGCAATTTAATCACAAAAAAAAATATTTTGAATTCTAAAGTAAGTTCATCATGGTTGTATAATTATCCTCAGAAAATGAGAACACATGCACTATGATCTACAACTTTAAAACAAATTGCCGATCATTTTCCAAGAATTTTAAGGAATTTTTTAAGTTATATCTCCTAAGTTATGTGGTAAAATTAAAGTTGTTTGAGTAATAACAAACATTCATTTGAGTCTGACCTATGTTTGAGATGATCTAGGATAGGAATATACAAGTGTGGAATAAGAACAAGACGAAAAGAAGCGAAACAGCTCAAAAGCTGATTTCAAGTTGTCGGTCATCGATCGTGCACGTTGACCATTAATAGTGACCTGAGACCATCAATTGTTCCCCTAGATCATCAACAGTGCACAAGTCCAGAGGCATTTAGATCACTGATTGGGTCATCTGACCACCAATGGTCGCTCGACACCATCAATGGTTAAGAGCCACCATCGATGGCTAAGACGACTGATTTAAATTTTAAACTTTTAATCTATGTAGTTCATTGTACATCAAAGTTAAACCACTATCTTCTCCTATGTTTTGAGGCACTATTCCCTAGCCTAATTAGAAGAGAAAAGGAGAGAGAAAGAGGGAGGAGACCTACGATTTCAATTTGGTGATCAAGGAAAGCTTTTCGATCTCCTGGAGTCTCGTCAATCACTCACTCGCCACGTACAACATTATCTGACCAGTTCATGATGAGGAGAGGTGCCATTGGAACTCATCTTCATCCCTATTCTTCATCAAGCTACGCTTAGATCAAACGGTTTGTAAATCAAAAGGACTACTATAAGATCGTTTTTTGTATTAAGCTTAATTGTTATATTTTTTATTGAACTTCTTTTATGGTGCACTCAAGCCGGTTGAATCGAGTGTTGGGGCTAGCTAGGGCTAAGAATTACTCATTGTGAGAGTTAGGTTAGATGACTAGCTTCGGATTAAAACTACAGTATGGTCTTCTAAGCCTACTGAATTAGGTTTGTGAACATGTGGGGGCCCACCCACGTGATTGGTTGTTACGCGTTTTAATAAACACGTTTATGTGATTGGTTTTAATAAACGCGTTTTAATAAACGTGTTTGTGTGATTGTGAACGTGAAGTGGGGGCCACGGTTGGGAAAATTGCATGAGCAGCAACGCGTTTTTTTGTTTCCACGTGAATAAGTGGCCCACGTGCGGCCCAAATTAACCCTACAGCTATATATATCTCTTCAATCCTTCCTAGGGTTTGTAGCAAGTACGAAAAGGGGAAAAGTGGCGGTGTGCAAAGATAAGTTGGTTTGCAGGTTAAAAAAATCGCTATACGGTTTGAAGTAGTCTCCTCGACAGTGGTATAGGCGATTTGATGGTTTTATGATTGGTTATTCGTACACTCGGAACCAGTTTGATCCTTGCGTATATTTTCGCAAGTTGAAAGGAGGTGCGTACATTTATTTGTTGCTCTATGTCGATGACATGTTGGTTGCCTCTATTTCCAGGTCGTCTATAGATGAGTTAAAAGTTCAGCTATCAAATGAGTTTGCGATGAAAGACTTGGGGGAGGCGAAGCGCATTCTAGGGATGGAGATCGGTAGAGACAAGAAGAAGGGCAGAATTTGTTTGACACAGGTGGATTATTTGAAGAAGGTTCTACAACGATTCCATGTTAGCATGGATACGAAGCCAGTTAGTGTACCATTGGGAGCCCATTTGAAGCTTTCAGCTGGTCTTTCACCGAAGTCAGTTGAAGATAGAGAGTTAATGTCGAAGACTCCATATGCGAGTGCGGTTGGAAGCTTGATGTACGCGATGGTATGTACGAGGCCAGATTTGTCACAGGCGGTAAGCATGGTATTGAGATACAGCTTGATGTACGCGATGGTATGTACGAGGCCAGATTTGTCACAGGCGGTAAGCATGGTATTGAGATACATGCATGATCCAGGAGTGGGTCATTGGGACGCTGTGAAATGGATTTTGAGGTACATTCGAGGTACGCTCAATGTTGGTTTGGTTTATGAGCGGGACACTACAGGTGGGCAGCTATGCATTGGCTATGTTGATTCGGATTATGCCGGGGATTTGGATAAGCGCCGGTTTACGACGGGGTATGTGTTCACTTTGATCCGTACGCCGGTGTGTTGAAGATGCACCTTACAATCGACAGTGGCTTTGTCTACGACGGAGGCAGAGTATATGGCGGTTACGGAGGCTGTGAAGGAGGCTATTTGGCGTCGAGGACTTTTGGAAGAACTTGGTATATCGCAGAGATCCGTCACTATTCATTGTGATAGCATGAGTGCTATCTATTTGGCGAAGAATCAGGTTTTTCATGCGAGGACGAAGCATATTGACGTTCGTTGTCACTTCGTTCGGGATGTTCTTGAAGATGGTGATGTGAAGATTGTGAAAGTCCACACGAAGGATAATCCGGCGGATATGCTCACTAAGGTGGTTCCAAGCAACAAGTTTGATCATTGTCGAAACTTGTTGCATATTCGTGATTGCTAAGGCCGTTGACGGCCATTTGGATGAACTACGTTCGGCTTGATTCCTTAGGCAAGAGGATACGTAGGCAGTCTATCAGATGCAGCCGGTTTGGATTAGTTGATTTTGATGGGGGTGAGATTGTTTGGACTCTCGTTCGGGTTCTCGACTTGTTATGGATTGAGCTCGTACTGGTCACAACAAGTGGGACATTTGGTTGCTTTGGTGTCGGCTCAGTTTTGGGAAAACTTCACCGAGGTGGAGAATTGTGAACATGTGGGGGCCCACCCACGTGATTGGTTGTTACGCGTTTTAATAAACGCGTTTGTGTGATTGGTTTCGCCGCGTGAAGAGCCCACGAAAGTAGATCTCTCCCCCTCCTTGCCCCGTGGACGTAGGCAATTTGCCGAACCACGTAAAAATTGGTTGTACTACTTTTGTGTGATTTGTAATAGTTTTTAGGATCCCTCGACAGGTCAGTCCTAGAACTGATGAGAGGAAGGGCCGATATCTCACTTTGTTGAGATATCCGCTTCAGATTCTTGTCTCCTTGGTGAGACGGGAATTCTTATTGCGATCTGACTCTCTTGTTGTGCTACCGAAGTGCTGCCGAAATTTCCGCTGCGCGCAACAAGGTTCGTGATTCAGGAGAAATCTGTCAAGAGGAAGAGTGGATATAGAATTGTTTATCTCGACTATTATAAATTCTTGTGTCTCTTGTTGGTAGGTTTTGTGATTGGTATTATTGGTAATTATTGTTTATGGATGCAAATTTTTTGTAACATATTCTATATTTACACAAAAATGATAGGAAAGCCCACATCAGTTTACGTCGACCGGCGGCTCAACGTGATATGTAATCCTTATCTAAAAACAACCAACCAACCCCCCCCCCCCCCCAACCAAAACCCAGCCAACCCACCCCACCAACAGGAGTTTTATGTTACATAGCATATGATGTATTTGCATTAACAGATGACACTAACCCTGAATTCCAACGACATGTTTTGAGTTCAGAAATTCTTTTCTGAACAACATATAGACAATTCCAAGGAGAGACCTAGGCCGCTAAAAACTTGATAAATTATTGTCAGTAATAACTTGTCCTTAAAGTAAAGATTTTCGATTGAGAGCTTACAACGCTGTTCTGAATGAGATCCTCATAGTATACAGTAATATGCCTGGTGCTGTTCAACTGTACTAGAGCATCAGAAGCCCAGTCATTCAACTGTTTCAGTTTGCGCACCAATAAATTTGCATTAATCACGGGCTTATATCTCGCTAGTATATTTGCCTGCAGGGTGTTCGCAACAAGAGATGTGAATGCTTTGTCTAAGCAGCTATTTTTCTTAAATACTGAAGAGAAGATCAACCTCAATTTGTGAGTGCACATGAGCTTTGTGAGTTCCATTCAGTTGTTTGGCTCGATGATCATGGGAATTTGCCAGTAGCGATATCCACTGACGGAGCTGGTTTTTTCTTAATAGAAATATCACAGAAACCCCTGTTTGAGTGAAGTATTCAGAAATTTCTTCGTGATGGTGCATAAGACCCTAGTGTAGACAATAAAAATCAAAAAGGAGAAGTTAATTAAAGTGGCAAAGAGGACGTTTTAAACCCTATATTACTGAAGTGCTCGAAAATTTGTTTGTAATAATATTTGAAGGCATGATGAAACCAGGAGAAGTGATCGCGAATGGAGTCAGGGGTTAAGTAAGTCGATATGGAATATGAAGGCTTGATGAAGAATGTAGACAAGTGAACCATGTAACTGAAGCATTTCTTCAACTGCTAAAGTATTATTTCATTTGCGAGATTTACATTACCTAACTACAATATGTTTCCATAGAATCACCTGATTAAGCATCCACTTGAAGCCCACGGCAGCTGTGCATTCATTTTTCGAAGCACTACTGATCCAATCAAGATTATATACTTTATCCAGTGTCTTAGTTATTGCCGATATATTACTTCTCCTTTCTTTGTTGGAGAAGATCTCTCCGTGAGAGCTAATGTTGATATGGCTATTCAGCAAAGTCTCAAACCACCCACTTCCAGATCGTTGCATCGACACAATAGCAAAGAATTGAACTGGAATACATGCACACTCATTTCTGTCAAGAACCAAAAGGTGTATCGGTCACAGAACACAGAGAAAAGAGTAAATTTCACGAAACCCCCTGGACTTTTGAGGATTATGCACAAACCCCCTGAACTATAAACCAGAGAAATCCCTCTGATCTTGTCTCGAGTATCGTAATTGACGGAAGTTACTTTAAGTGTTAGTCAATTAAAGAGGCTGAGCTTTATCCTTTTGTCAACAACATCAGGCTGGGATTAAATCATTAGCCGGAGCCATTGACAACAAGAGAGAAAGGAGCTGACAGAGAGCCTCCTTTGTTGAAAATGGAGGGGTTAAGAGTCAAAGGTGTTGCTGATTGGTGGAGGAAGAAGAAAGGTGTTGCTGATGGCATGATTGGTGGCTTAAATTATGCTAATGAAGCCTATAAACCTGCTGCACCTCTCCTCTCAGTGTAGGCATCCTCCGAAGCAATCTTGACAGAGCCATTTGAGTGAGAGCAAAAGCAAAAGAGAGAGTGCTAAAATTTTGTATGTGTGTTGTATTTGAGAGATTGAATATAGTGAAAGCCCCCTCTTGCCGTGGACGTAGATCAACTTGATCGAACCACGTAAATATTGTGTTTTGTGATTGTCTCTCTATTCTCTGGTTTAGTGGGTGATTTTCCCAACATTAAGTTATCACATACTGCATACATGATAAGTTCTGGATAACGTTACCCCTATCTACTAAATATATTTTCTATTTGACCTTTTGGGGTAAGGGTTTTATAAAAATGATATTTTATATTTACTCAACCCGTCGATGTTGTTTATTAGAATTTTAAGTATATCTGTGAATGTTCAGGGGGTTTCTGTGGTTTGTAATTTTTGATGAGGATTTCATGCAAAACCCTAAGCCTTAGGCTTTAGAGAGGTTTTGTGAAATTTACCTAAAAAGAAGAGGGTTAATTGCACGCGGAGCCACAGTAGTAGTATCCTTGTTTTGCACTTACTACCCATAATAATAATAAGTGTGTTTATCAAGGGAAAAGGAGTCAAAAAATTAACTCGGCGACCTATTTGCAACACTGTACTACATGGATAGTAAGATCAAAACAACGTGTATCTGTGCATTTAACCTGAAAGAAAACCTGAAGTTTGTTAAAGCTTTAATTCCATTATACCTGCTATATGTAGTTGGTTCAGGATAGTGAACATATTGAATCTCCGACTGAGTAAGCTTAGGATGGTGACAAGGTTGTTCTGTAAATTTAATCCTGGCTACATTGCGCTTGATTTGGATCTGTGTTTGCTTCAAACATACAGTACATATATAAACACTGCAGATCATCACAGCAGCTAACACAATCATCATCAGAAAGTTCGATGACTTTTTTGGAAGCTTCAAGATGAGTACTGTCTCCTGCAAAAAAACAATTAGCTTGAAGAAAAAAAAGGTAGCTATTTAATTTGGTAGGGACTAGATGCTTAACACCATGAACAATCATAACTACAAAACAGGCTCTCTTCCATGTCTCTGGGCAAAAGCTCAGTGTTAACTATCAATCCCTGCTAGATCTTTTGAATTTTTAAACATCCTAAATGATACAATCAAAATTATCTCACGAATCCATCAAGGCCTCATGACATTCATCAATTTCTAGCCTATCTTTCTGTTTATAAAAAACAAAATTTATAAATATTTTTTTAATTATTAAAGTATATATAAGAGAAAGTTTATGTTTTTGCATATATTGGACATTCTCTTTTTCTATTTATAAGTGCCATAATGTTTCTTTGCAATTATGTTTTCATATCTTTTGAAAACAAAATCACGTTGTTATGATTGAATGCCGTAAAAGCACTTCTAATGAGTAATGAATACTCATGAAATTTGTGTTGTGATGTCTTCCTTGCATTTTATAAATTAAGCTTAAGAAAATCAATTTGAAGAAGATAACAAAACATGTCTTATCTAAATCATTGACACGATCAGATATTAGGGATAACCAAATTCAAGTTTCAAGATTAGTTTTTCTACACTTGTGGGTCAAAGATATCCTACCATGTATTTTTGTCCAACAACATGTGTCACATACTCATATGATGATAGAAGGGGATCTTAAAAGACATTATTTTTTCTTAAAATTATCTTAGAAATACCGGAAATTATTTGAGATTATCATACTGTGTTAGTCATGCATCAAACAAATATATCTAACAAAATACTTACATAACATGCTACTAAATAAGCATTATTATCTAAAATATCCTAGAATGCTACGAACATTCTATGATTCACGTTAGGACTAGGATTTTTTCGTTAAAGTCCTGGAGTTTAAATGAGAATTTTTAAGCGTTTGGATGGATTCTTGGATTGAATGTTAAATAACTATTAACAAACATAACTACTATTTTATCGAAAATATAATTATTATCTAATTAGTAATTTCTTATAATTACAATTTTAAGCTTAACTTTTTATTTACAATTTGTATATTTAAATATGTAAACATTAAATATAATACAATATATTTTCAAGCATTCAATATAAACAAAAAATTATTTAATTTTTTATTACCTAATACATGAATTTAATTACATTTAATATTAGTTATTTACTATATTTCTTTCTAAAATTTAAATAAATATAAAATATATAAATATTAAATATAATTTAAATGAAATATATATTTAATACTTTATATTAAATTAATTATTTAATTACTAAATTATGTTAATTGGTTAATATTTTTAATATCAAATATATTTAAATATTATAATATGGCAATTAATTATACTAAATTATTTTAATTGGTTAATATTTTTAATATCAAATATATTTAAATATTATAATATGGCAATTAATTAATATTTTAATATTAAATATATTAGACTACTAAATGTATAATTTATTAGAATAAATATTAAAATGGTTAAATAATTAACAATATTAATACTATTAGATAATATTTCATTTTAAATGTATTAAATATATCTAAATAATCTGATAAAAAGAATTAAATATTAAATATACTTAATATTTAATATGAAATATATTAAATAAATAAAACACAATATTTATATCATTTAATATTTTCTTATTTAATTTTTAATATTAATTATATTGACGTATTTGCTATATTTCTTATGCATAAACAAGACTATATTCATACAATATTAATATGAAATATATTAAATGATTTTATAAATTAAAACTATGCTAAATAATGATATATTTAAAGTTTAAATAAATATATTATATTAAATATATTGAATAATTAAATAATATTAAATATAAAACTTATCATACAATATTAATTATTAAATATATTTCATTGTATTAAATATATTTAATTATTTAAAATTAAAATATTTAAAAGTGAATATATTTAATATTTATTAAATAAATAATTAGTATTTAATATTAAGTAGAAACGTCTGCTAAATATTAGACAATAGCGTTGTTTTTAAATGTGGGCTCATTGAAGGAAGGGGAGAAGAAAATCCAAGGAGGGAGAGCACAATCATCTAATTTTAACTTGGACTTTTTCTTAAATAAATTCATTAGATTGTATATAGTTGGATTGGGATTTAGATTTTTGCAATTTGAGTCCTAATCACAATCCAAGACAACGAATAAAACCATAAAGTAAATCTGAATTCTAGTCCTAAAACCAAGAACACAATAAAGTTAATCAAAATCCTAGTTCAAAAACCAATAACAAATAAAGTTAAATCTTAGAAAAAGTCCAAAGTCCTACCCCCACCCCCCAAAAAAACCCACAACAAAAAAGTGAGAATTTTTAAAACGAAAATTTTGGTGTCTTACTCCTTGTTGACTGCAAATCAGTTTTATCTTGAAGGGTCATTCATTTTAATGAACTTGAACTGTTTCGTCATCATTATTATTACAGATCATCCCTAAAGTACTCAAGTCTATAGCGACTTAATTAGTTAAACACAATATTCAGAGAAAACAAAATTTTAACATTATTCAAGAGCATTAATTTGCTAACACTACATCTCAGGGGAAAAAAACCAATAAGGAAGACAAAACATCAAGCAAAACATATAAAAAAAAAGCAACAACTTTCTACTTCACAGTTTTAGGAGTAACAACACCAAATAAAAATGGGAGTAAAAAATCAACCTTGTTCAAGAAACAGCAGCCTCCCGTCATCTTCTCCTCCTAATTCCTCTCCTTTTTTGGTATATATTTCTTTGCTTCTCTCTTCTTAATTTTTTTTTCCCTCAAAGAGCAGCAAAGATTTAAAAGAGGAAAAGAGAGATCACAAGTCAAAAACCCATTAAATTAGGGGTTTTGGGTTCTTTCCAAAGAAATTAATAAGCCCACCTCGTAAGCAGCCATCATTACTTTCAAAGTCTATTTGTAATTTTTCTCCTGTCTTTATTTTTTTTTTTTTCTTTAAATGTATTGCACATCTCGATCGCTTCAACTCCCGTTACTGTTGCCGTAACGTATTACTAACGAAAGATACGACAAAGATTTTTAAAACGAATATGAAAGTTAAGTACTTGTTTAACTTAAGTTGGGTAATTCATCTGAAGTCGAGATATAATTTACGTAAAGCGCGCAGAAAAACCCAAAAGAAATTCAGAGATAACTTCAATTATTAGACGTATATATTTGTTTAACTTAGGTTGACTAATCCAGAAATTCAATTTATTTGCGTGAGCATTTGGAAGTTGAAAGTCTAAAGGGTGATCCTTTTTCACCCTTTTTTATTCTTTGAGAGAGGGAGGGAACTTCACCATGATCTTTCCGACGACGACTACAGGGGATCAAACCCCCGGAGCGTGGATTAGGAACACCCCAACGCACGGCCTTGAATATTTCATAAAATTAAATTCGTGTAGATGCTCGATCTACAGGAGACTCGAACTTGGGAACTTGAAATACTACTCATATGCAGCTTATCAACTCGGCTAAGCTCTCTTGGTTGACTTTGTTATATAAAAATCGACATTACTAACAGATTAATATAGTGCAAGTTGACTTATCCATTTTTAGCTCTTAATTTCATCGTCTGTTTCGTACAGAATTTTCATCTATTGTTAACCCTATTTTCTAAAAGTGGGGGGGCATCGGAAGATCTAAGTTTGACTCAATTCGATTGTCAATTTTCAAATGGGTCCAAATCAGTGAGATGTCGGTATCAAACGTGATAGCCGGGAATCATTGGAAAAGTCTTCAAAAGGTTGAAAACAAATCTTATTCAAAATCTTAAAGCTGTTGAATATTAGCCCAAACATCATAATTAACTTCATTAATCTTTCTCAATCTTTTAAATCTGAAATCAGTGCTCACGATTTCTTAGCACTGCTCATGTCATTCCCTAGCTTGTAAAATAAAATACATACTTGGGAGAATTTGAACAGGGCATGATCACGAGAATATGCTCTAGAGATTCCTCACTGAGTCAGCATCATCTACACATAAGATTCACCACGCTCCGTACGCATAGAATAATGATGCTACAACCTGCTTTATGTTCGAATATAAAAATACACCTTCAATACTAACCATAACCTGGTTTCAACGCTGCAGTATTCTTCCAAAATATAAGGATATAACTATCAAATCAAAGATTCCAGAAGCAGGTACAATTTATAATGCTTCAGATGAATTTCAGCTTCAATTAACACACGTTATTACTTCCACAGTACAAAAATGAATGGGTTTAGCAAATCTCATCGTATTGCAAAATCCATTCCCATTTAACACCTCAAATTAAAATGAGAACGCGCAACTCAACACGCTAACACTACTACTAAAAATTTCCACCTTATGCTAACAAAAGCTGCCCTGATCTAAATGGTCGTCAGTTGTCACCGTGCATTTTTGCCCAGCATCGGCAAGCAACGAATGCGAAGACAAACAAGAAACTTAAAAGGCGCGATATTGACATCATGTTATCTACATTTGATAGTCAGACGTTAAAAAGCTCTCGTACTGGGTTCCTGCAAGTGCATTGTGGACATCATCCCAATTCTCTACAAGATGTGACAATGGCTTCGTGTGTATCTTCACGTGGTGGCTGATTAGCCTTCTCTGTGGCACCTTAAGAAAGTCCATAACGTCCTTCACCTTCTGCAAGAAAATGAGCCGAATGTTCAAGGTAAGTTGTGTTTAAGTGGAAATAATTGTAGTTTTTGTTGTTGAAGGACATCTAATCGTGGTGTTCTGGTTATTTGAACTACTTAAGAAGTTGGGACTCAATACTATGTTCATATGTTTCAAATGCACCCACATAAACTCAATTAAAACACTTACACATGTATGGTCCAAAGATATTTACAACTTTGAATCTCACCTTTTCTTCCCAGTTTATTCCTTAAGAGATAGAATTGGCAGAAATACGTCCAATTTATTAAAGACGGCTATAAAATTTATCTTACCCTTTCGGGGCGCGATTGGTGTTCAGCATAGTGAACAATTAAGAACTCTATACAGTTTTTTTTGAAACTTGGTGAGTTAATGGCAGAAAACAGTGCAGTCTTAACAGAAATAGATGATGTCTTTCCAGCCTTATGATCTGAGATCACTGGTGACTGGCTTATTTCTTTATCTGATTCAAAAAAAAAAGTAAAAAAAATAAAAGGAAAGCAATAGATGATGTCTTTCTTTTAAAGCGTAGTGACACAAAATTAACATTGTATTATTAGGGTGAATCAATTTTGTATGGATGAAAGATCCTATCAATAAAAACATATTATAGGAAATGAAATTACTTGTATAGGATACATGCATTGCAAGTGACTAGGTCTATACACTGGACAAAATTTACCAAGACCTACTCCAGCATCAGAAGAGGTTGTTAAATAAGGTATCTTTTAAATGAAAAGAGATCTATCACCAAAGAAACCATCATGAATCAACATTTAAAATGTTGCAAATAACTAATCCATAAGTGATGTTTACTGGAATAAACATGATTCGTTCCTTTTTAAGCTAGACGATCATGAAATAAACTTTCAAGAATAAACATATTAGACACATATTGAATGTCAAAATATTAGAAAACATAACCTTCATGTGTTAGGGGTCAGCCCATATTTCTGGAATTTTTGGCTTCTTTGGTCATGCATGAGTCATGCACACCAAAGGAGGCCTTTTTGGTACAAGCTTATTATTTTCTTTTGCTTGTTTTTAGAAAAAATAATAATAATGTTCACGTGGTTTATGACTTAAATATATGTTGACATTCTTTAAAGAATCAATTTTGAATACTCACAGGCTCATGGGATTTCAATTAATTACCTTCTATACACTTCATCTTGAAGACATTTTGACTTTCTGGTGTAAACACTGAAAAGATATGCTAGATGGCCGACAGCCAACATGGTACTTAGCTCAAACTTTTCAGATTGAACAAAGTTCAGTTAAATATAAGTGTATAATATATTCAACATCAAGTTCATCGAGTTCAGAAGTTCCTCCAATCCATACTAAATTATTTGGTTTTGAAATATCTAGATGATACCTCGAAGAATTGCAACTCATTTTACGTTTGTATTTGTAGCTAATAACATATTACAAGTGAAAAGTTACATTAGGTAACGGGAATATAGTATAGAATAGAGAGCTCACAGTGTCATTTCGGATAAGATCCTCATAGTAAATAACCATGTGGCGGTTGCTTTTCAACTGTTCAAGAGCATCAACAACCCAGTCGTGCAACTGTTTCAGCTTGGGAACCAGCATTTTGGCATCAATCATGGGCTTAAATCTCGCAAGTATATTTGCCTGCAAACAATTTCCATGGGAATATGTCAAAACACATCATTTCAAGAACAAATATATTAAGACTTTGGCCTAATATTTTGGACCGTCTTTAAGAACAACTATTGTAGTCCATGACTGAGAGGAGAGATCAACCTCGTATTGCGAGTGAACATGGGCTTTATGAGTCCCATTCAGTTGTTTGGCATATTGATCATGGGAATTTGCTAGTAGTGAGATCCATTGACGGAGCTGGTTTCTTCTAAATAGGAATATCACAGAAACCCCTCTCTTATTGAAGTACTCAGCAATTTCACCATAATGTTGCATAAGTCCCTAAAGCAGTAACGAAAAAGAAGAACTATATCAGTTTGTATCCAAGGTGTAGAGAAACAAGGATCCTTAGATGAATTTATGTTCTATGTAAAAACGAAAAGTAATAAGAATAGAGAAGAAAAGGATGTCATTTTGCAAACTTTAACGAATAAATGTTTGCCTAGTGATTAGCTAGAGGTCTGTATATCACAAATCATCAAAATCAAAAACTATTGAGGCAATCTAACTCTTCCAATGAAGAAAGTACCAAGTCTCATATGCCTAAGTTACCCTGGCATCTCATATCTAGGCTCCCGCACCAATGTCCAACATGTGTCCGCCCCCAACACTCCATGGACATTCCCCGTATATGCATACATTTATTCAGACATGTACTCAATTATATGATACATGATTTACTTTAAAACACACCCATCTCCAACACGTGTTCGATGCCAACACTCCATGGACACTCCCTGAATATGCATACATTTATTCAGACAAGTACACAATTATATAATATATGGCATAGTTTAAAACACTTGTCATGCACTTCTTGGATGTAGATCTTACACCTTATGTCCACTCCACGCAACTCGGTTAATATGAATCGAGTTCGTATCAGCCCACACAGTTCAAAAAGTATGATTTTAAAGGGTTGTTAGGTATTTCGTTCAAAAGCAAGCAATTTCCATTTTATAATCTACTCAATTAATGAAACATAAAAAATGTTATAGGAACTTTGTGCACACCCGTACCTGTCCCGTGTGACATAGGGCTCAGCTACGAGTATGGAACAAAGAAATTTTTATGCAGCAATGTTACCCATAAGAACAAGCTGGTGAGTAACAAAATTCTAAAATAAGCATCAGTAACAGAAATACAGAATTAACCACTATGATATTAAAAAAATTCTGTCAATGTTGCTCAATGCTCGTAAGTTGAAAGTTTTAATGTTCAGGTATACATAATTAATGCAAGTAATTTGCACAAAATTAATAAGACATTAAGCTTAGTAAAACAATAACTAACTTATAAATCTCGTTTGCCCACCATTGATCCACAAAAAAAAATGTTCCGCCTGAAGCAATCCCAGGTCTTGCTAAAAGAATCCCATAGATTTCTCCTATTCAATGTTCCTGAATGCAGTGACTAATGTGGCTTGGTGAATATATAATACATAATTTAGATCAGATGAAGAAAGTTATCCTGTACTATCACACAATGTAAGATTATTAAAATAATGATTGCATGTATAGATTTCTAGAAAGTGTCACCATAATTAATGCAATATTGCACTATATTCAGGCCAGACAGAAACAGAAAATAAATGATATTACTATTTTCAAATACAAGCCTGAAATGAGCCTCAGGCACTGTGTGAATCTTATCTCTAAAATTAGCAATTCCTGGAAATTAATCAAACACAGTACCTAAGAATATGCACATAAGGCTGATATGCCGCAGCCTGTTTTTTGTCTTTTTCCATTAATTGAAACCTTAAATCGTTATCAGCCTCCAAGTCATTTAGGTGGAATTTTAGTCATCTGCATGATTGTAGGTGGAAATGTTATTCAGCTTTTTAGAACTTGAGCTTTCATTTAGCAAGTTAGTTTAGAATCATGCAGGTAAAAAACGTCCTATGATATATGGCTCAATTTCACGATATTTATATGCTATGGGATTTAAGATCCATTGTTGTCCTTTTTCGCTATTAACCTTTGAATCTAATATTGCTATATTACTTCAGATAACCACCGTATGCTATATGCTTCAATGCAGACAGAAAAATGTCAAATATACCTGTAGTGATATCATCAAATGGATTTATGTTAATCTGGTCTGATAGTCTAAAATACATGAGTTAAAAGTTTATTGTACCAAAAAGATCACACCCAACTACTTCTTGATGAATGTCATTATACTCGTGAAATGTTGAGATGCCAGTTGTTCAACAAAGTAATAAACCCCCTTCATTTGGGTAGGATTTAGGAAGACAATTCTTTAATACTTTATCGTAGCTGCAACAGAGCTATTTAGTTGCCCAAATTAACGCATCTTCAATAGCAATAAAGTAAGGAAATGGTAAGGCGTTTGAGCCTGCAACAATTCAACAGAGGGAGTAATAGAGTATAAAGTCATTAGACTCTTTACTAAGGTTAAAAAAAATTTAAGTGAACCTGAGAATAATCAAAAGTAGTGGGTGTCAGGATCATGTAATATCTCTGGCGGTTTATAATCAAGTAATTCATCTGGCCAGAGAAATATTAATGCTATAAAGGAATACAGGACAGGCCCTTGTAATGACATTAAACTGATCCTTACCAACATAAGGTTTCCTTTATGTTACCTAATCTGTCTCATTAGAAGGATATTCCCAGGAAAGTCTTGAGTTTATATTTCTTCACAATTACATTTCTGTTAAAATATTTTTTCCTGCTTGAAGAGGAGCAAGCGTGTTAGGCTTCTTATTTTATTCTGATCACAACAAATTTGACGACAAAACTCTCACTACTACATACATTATAAATTTCAAATGATCAATAACAAATCTGATACCTAATAACATGTGAAAATCTAATAGTAACTTCATTCCGAAATTGATGTTACCTAATTAATAAATGTTTTTTCAAAACATTTACCTGATTAAGCATCCACTTGAAGCCCACAGCAGCTGTGCATTCATTTTTTGAAGCACTACTATTCCAATCAAGATTGTATACTTTATCCAATGTCCTCATTATTGCCGACATATTACTCCTCCTTTCTTTGTTTGCAAAGATCTCTCCGTGAGAACTAACATTAATATGGCTATTTAGCAAAGTCTCAAACCACCCACTTCCAGACCGTTGCATTGACACGATAGTAAAGAAACGAACTGGTGCGCAAGCACATTCATTCCTGTCAGGCACAAAGATCGGTTGTTTGATGGCCGAAAAAACAAAGAAAACTAAATTCTGCCTTTAGATATGATAAATATGGGCCGCATTCAAACAATAGGAATCAATGTACAAACTTGATTTGGATTGAAAGATTACTTTGACAGGAAAAGCAAGTTCCAATTGGAATTGAATCAATTCGAACAGGATTAGAATTTGAAAAGTTCAAACAACGGCATTCATGAGAAAGAATCTCACATGAACTAAAAATAGGACGAAAAGGTCTATAAATAAGTTTAGAGAGACTAGTTTTAAACAATCAAGAAGATATTGTGTAATTCGGCAATTGAACAATAAAGTTAGCAATTTGAATTCAATTGTTTGAATGCCAGCCATGTTCAAAAGGTTCACATTACCTGCTATATGTGATTGGTTCAGGGTAGTGAACATATGGAATCTGAGCGTGTGGGATTCTATGAGCGTGATAAGGTTTTTCTATTAGCTTAATCCTCATAAAGTTGGACTCCTTGTGGATCTTTGTTTGCTTTAGGCATATAGAGCATATATATACACTACAGATCATTACAACCGCTAATACAACCATCCTTGAAAGAATTGGTGATTTCTTTGGAAGCTTTAGGACAAGAGTGTCCTGCAAAAAAAAAGAAAAGGATAAATTTCAAGAAAAGAAGCAATTAAGTTGGTACAGATTAGATTTATGTAACAATAGCTAAATCGTATGATTAGTTCGAGGGAATGAAAAAAGAAATAAATGGTGCATCCATATAGCATCCGCATAGAGTTTTTATGCATATGCAAAGAATTTCTCATGTATGAAGTCAAAAGTTCTTTAATAACTAGAAGAAACCACTATCAACAAAGATCATTAAATGGTACAAAGATGCAATAGTAGGAAACATTTAGGTTTCAGATTTCTATGATAGCCTATGAGCATTACTCGTAAAAAGAAACAACTACACACACCTATCATTGACATGCTCTAGAAATTGCTCTTGTATGCAAGAAATACAGTCTTTGGTCCAAAAGTCCTCAAGATTAGCATGCAGCTCTGATAACAAAGACCTTAATGAAACAAGATCCCATAGGAAAATAGCATGTAAATACACATAGCATGTAAACACACAGTGAGTAATCTCCAACTAAACCGAACCAATTCTTTCACCCATTTTTTTCCCTGTTTTTCTTTTTGCACAAACCAAGCCAACCAATTGCTACCAACTAACAAGAGAATGATAAAATCAAAGTATTAACTAGCATCAAAAGTCAAGAAAAATCCCAGAACCTTGGGGTACCAAAAGTGTAGAATTCAGATCCTTCTGGAATGTTACTCCGAGCTACTTAAGAGATTTAGTAACGTGCATTTTCCAAAATTAAAAAAAAAAGAATGAAAATAAATTAATTAATTAACTCACCAAAATCTGCATAGCACAACGACAAGCCAAGACAATGCATGAAATGGGACTTGAAATAAACCAAAATAATAGTTCGAAGAAAGGAATTTCAGAACAAAGATGCCAATGGGTTCTCTCCAACGCAACTCACAGACAAAAAGAAATCTGAAAAGATACTAAACATAAAGCAAAAGGAGTAAAAGCAACCACATTTCACTACCAAGCACATGAAGATCCCAACTTCAGCATACAATAATCGTTAAACTAAATGGGCGACAACAATAAGGGATGAAAGAATCAACCTTGTTGAAGAAACAACAGCCTTCTCCCAATTTCTCATCCTTGGCCTTCATGTTTTTCTCTCTTTTTCTTCCTCTTCTTCTTTTTTTCTTAAAAATGGAGGATTTAAAGAGAGGAGCGGGGCGAAGCTGGAGAAGCCATCCCTGGGGTTTTGGGCTCTTTACCCATAAATTAATGAAATCACCTCGTGAGCTGTCATCATTGCTTTGAGAACTAAAATCCTCTGGCTTTTATCTTCATCGTTGATTTTGAAATTAAAATCCTCCGGCTTTTCTCCCCAACAGGGTCTCTTCGTAATTTATTTCTCTTTCAAGTCTGTTTTCTTTTCTTTTTTTTTCTGTTTTCTTTTTTCTTTTTCCTAATATATCTAATTTTAATTCAGAATCTCATCGGGGACCGCGCTCTATTGCTGACATTATCGGTAGAGACGAAGAATGCCAAAAAAACAATTTTTAAGGGAAAAATATAATGAGAGCCCGAGATGAGATATGGAATGTGACTGAGCCCCAAGTCAAATTTGCCATCTACAGGTCCTTTAAACATCAGTTCATGATGCTCTAGTAAGAACATACACAGATCGTATACTTTCTCTTTACTCGTTCTCCTTTGTTTCTTTCTTTGTTAATCATCACTTATTGAAGAACAAGTTCTACGTATAATTCGTAGCTGCACAATTGCATACTTATAGTGTTGTGCGCGTAGGGGTTAAGCCATCTAGTTAACAGACTACATAATTAATGATCGAGTTCGCTTTGTTGAAGATATGTAAATAAGACAGAGAAGAGTCCGTTAGGTGTTGTGGTGGTTTTCGAAGTACCTTATCCATAATGGGCACAAGTTCTTGTAGCTTTCTCATGCGTTCACTGATCCGGGTCCTCCTCACCTAAATTACTAAGCATGTCAGATATATAAATTAGCAAGTAATTAAAGAGTTAGTTTAATTAACTTTCTAACCAATAGCAGCTAATATATCCTGAAACTGCAGGAACTTTTCTATGGCCGCCATCTCCGACGATGTCTTCGGCAAGCTGAACTGATGACTCAGCCCTCCATTCCTCACCTCCTTTATTTTTCGCCCAGGGCAAAAAACAATCCTGGCTACGCCACTGTGTGCGCGGCGGAAGCTTCAAGGAGCGACACGAACAATCAAAGAGATAAACCATAACCAATAAGCAATTCCCAACCACAGCAAGAACAAACGATTTACGTGGTTCGGCAAGTTACCTACGTCCACGGGGCAAGGAGGGGAGAGTTCTTATTATTAGAAATCAAGAAAATACAAATAGAGTTCAAATCTCACCGATCAAACCCTAAAACAAAGCTCTAGATCTCTCACAAATCTCCAACAATTGGATGTAGCAATTCTCTCCAAAAGACTGCTCAAAATCATCCTTGCTTAACCCTAATTAATCAGGTTTAGGGTTATATATCAACTCAGAAATGAACCGGGTCAAAATCCAAAGCCCAGCCCAAAATCCATCTGCGATCGACCGCGGCGGTCTACCGCGCAAGTCTCGCGGTCGACCGTACGAAGCTCGCGGTCGACTGAACACCCCCGACAGAGAACCAAATCCTACAGTCAAACTTGCGGTCGACCGAACTGATTTCCCGAGAGATAATCGCCTACAGGGTCCCCGCGATCGACCGTCACGGTCGACCCGCCTTCATCTCGAATCCCACTGGCCTTTCGTGCACGTTCGCGGTCGACCCGCCAGTCTGCCTGGCCTGATTCTTTCTGCTATTTTCCTACACTCTCTCGCCATTTCTTTAATTCTCCACCTCGGCGAATGTTTCTACCAAAACTGAGCCGACACCAATCATCCAATAGTTCTGTAACAAGTCCGGGAACCAAACTAGAGCTGAAACGTAATCCGTCCCCCCGCCCCCCCTGAATCAACAAAACCGGTTGCATCTGAAAGACTGCCTACGTATCCTCTTGCCCAAGGAATGGCCTACGTATCCTCTTGCCCAAGGAATCAAACCGAACGTAGTTCACCCAAATGGCCTCCAAAGGCCTCAATCCGCTAGAAGAGTTCGCAACCCTTCTCCAACATCATGATCAAGTCTACGACTGATAGCACCTCCAATGGCCCCAAACTAAAACAATCCAAACATCTCCACCTGAGATGAACCGATGGCCATATTCAGACTCCATCTATCAGCTACACTCGAATCGATCAACCTATCATCTGCATCCGAATTAACATGATTCTCAATCTGTGTCACATCAGCTAGAATCCTAAATGATACAGTATGATCTGGAGTATGTGGAGTAGACTCCACCCAACATGGAGTAGCATCACCCTCCACCTGCTACGATGTCCCAACGATCTGATCAATACTCTCCACCTGCCGAGAGTCAAACGTGACATACCTACTCAGAACAAAATCAGAAGCTCTCATACGATAATCAAATGAGCCTCCGAATCCCAAACGCGCAATCGGATCAAATCTCACATTCACGATGTGACCAAGTGCTGGGTAGCCAAATATCCGACGCAACCCAAAATCTGAAGCAGCTCCACCAGATCCCATATCTCTACATACAGTAGTCGGTAACCTATATATAAGATGGCCCAAACATGTCGTAGCCCGCACACCAATGCCAATGCTCGACATCAAACGCCGATCCTCCTTCAGCAAGGAACAGCTCCCAAAATCTGTCATCTCGCCTCGTCGCCTCAAAGTTTCCACATCAATGAAGTCTCTCCTATTACCGTGAGCTCGGCACAAACACAAGAAAGAACCCCTACCATAATCAGAACGTCGAGTTACCTTTCTACCAACACACTTCCTCCATCTGTTGCGGGCTTCTAGGACTTCACACCAACGGGACTTGGTTGCAACCCACCAATGCCTAGAGCAATCCCTAACTGCGGAAACCACATACCTATTACCTCCCAATGACGCTCCCTTGGAAGGCCCCTGAATGCCTGAATGAACACCCCTCAGAAGACCCCCCGAATGATGGATAAAAATGCCAAACTCCACCTCGGTCTTTTCTCTCATAACAATGGGTTCACAGGACTTCAAACTGCAGGTCAAAGCACTCCTAAACAACCTATGCACGACATTACCAACCAAATAACCTAGCATCAAACAACGCCACAGTCTAGCCGAATATGAATAAGTCGTCAGCTCCCTATCAATCATCGTGCTTCCGAGCAAATAATACAAATTTCTCCTTCTGACGCCCTTCATCACAATCATGGACCCTAATGTGACCTTCAAGCGTGCATCCATTAAGGTTACCCTATAGCCTGTGACCTTCAAAGCTCCAAGTGAAATGATGTTATTCTTCAACTGCGGAACGAACCTCACATCATCCAACTCTCGCATCATCCCATCACTCATCTTAATCCGAATAGTACTAATACCACTAATAGAGCATGCATGTCAATTACCCATGAGCACAACATCCTCTCTTTTCAACTTCTTAAAGCTGGAAAACCAATCCCTCCTAGGGCAAACGTGGTAAGAAGCACCCGAGTCCAACATCCACTCCGTAGAGTCGGCATCACAAACTGACGGTAGTGCGGATAATGAATAGCCTGAAGAATCTGAATCGTTGCCACTAGACTTGACAACTTTCACCTCTGAAGCTTGTACAGCTTTCTCCTTATTCTTCCCGGCTCGATCTATCTTTGGGCATTCAACTTTCTAATGTCCATCCACTTTACAAAAAGCACACTGATTCCTACGAATCCGACGATGTGCACCTCTAGACTGCGATCTCCTGCTTCGGTTTGAACCACGGCCATGAACTACTAATGCATCTCCCGATGCCTTCTCGGAGGATTCATCAACACTCTTCGTCAACTCATAATTTACCAACGCTGAGGTCACCTCCTTGTAACTAACAATAGTTCTTCCATTAATCATAGTTAGGACAAAAGTACCATAAATTATCCTCGGGCAACGAATACAAAAATAGCATCGTCTTGTCTTCATCCTCAACCATGATATCCACATTGGCCATGTTTGAAAGTAGCTTCGTGAAGTTGTTCACATGCTCCCTGATGGAAATTCCCCTCTTCATCTTGAACTGGTAAAACATTTTCTTCAAGTGAAGCCGATTCTCAATGCTCTTAGTAAGATACTTTTCATTGAGTGTTTTCCACATCTTCTTCGCCGACGTCTTGTTCATCACATCATAAATAAGATCCGGCATCAAGCATGACCGAATAACTCCACACGCCCTAATATTCATCTTCTTCCAAACCTTTTCTTCCATATCAGCAGGTTTCTCTTGCAACTCAAGAGTCTCCTCCAAATTCTGTGCATCCAAGGCGTCCATCACCTGGCACCTCCACAATCTAAAACTGATCTTGCCGTCGAACTTTGGAATATCAATCTTCATGTTATTGATGCTCAAACTATGTATCGTCTTTGTAAGAGACGAACCTGATGCGCTTGCTTCTCCCATGTTGTCGATCTAACTCTTTAGATAGGAATCTACACCGAATCCTTCGAACGAGTCTGAAGCTCTGATACCAATTGTAGTGCGCGGCGGAAGCTTCGAGGAGCGACATGAACAATCAAAGAGATAAACCACAACCAATAAGTAAATCACAACCACAACAAGAACAAACGATTTACGTGGCTCGGCAAGTTGCCTACATCCACGGAGCAAGGAGGGGGGAGTTCTTACTATTAAAAATTAAGAGAATACAAATAGAGTTACAAATCTTACCGATCAAACCCTAAAACAAAGCTCTAGATCTCTCACAAATCTCCCACAATTGGATGCATCAATCATCTCCAAAAGACTGCTTAAAATCGTCCTTGCTTAATCCTAATTAATCAGGTTTAGGGTTATATATCAACTCAGAAATGAACCGGGTTAAAATCCAAAGCCCAACCCAAAATCCATCTGCGGTCGACCGCGACGGTCGACCGCGCAGGTCTCGCGGTCGAGAGCACGAAGCACGCGGTCGACCGAACACTCCCGACAGAGAACCAAATCCTACAGCCAAACTCGCGGTCGACCGCGACGGTCGACCGAACTGATTTCTCGAGAGATAATCGCCTACAGGGTCCCCGCGGTCGACCGCCACGATCGACCGTCTTCAGCTCCGAATCCCACTGGCCTTCGTGCAAGTTCGCGGTCAACCGCGACGGTCGACCGCCAGTCTGCCTGGCTGATTCTTCTGCTGTTTTCCTGCACTCTCTCGCCATTTCTTCATATAGTCTGGCCAGTAGAAACAACGAAATCTGATTCGTAGTTATCAACAAAAGTTTAGTAGCTAAATAATATTGTGACACTATTCAGAGTTTACCTATAATCTCAAGCATAATAATACTTGATAATAGCC